TCCCCCCCACCCGGTTTTGCCGCCCCTGTATATAGAATGCATCTAGTATCTAGACTGAGGCACTCCAGTTACCACATTGCAATTTAACATTTTGTGATATGCGTTKAAAATTTTTTTTCTTGTATTTTCTTTATTTCTCTTACATTAGTCAACTAATAGATTACATCTTAAATTAAGGTTTCCAATGGATTAAAAATTCATTGTTTTCAATTACTTTCTAGAAAAAATGTTCGAAGCACAGGCAGTACTACAGCTAGAACAGTGAATAAAAGTAAAATTCGTGTGACTCTTGACTAAGAATTTATACTTCCCGTACCTCCATACCTTAAATCCTTCAAGCTTTACCAGCATGTCATCGCTCTGAGATCCCTTCAAGACTCTGTCATTGCAGTCTTGGTCATCAGAATCACATGTTTTTAGATCATCCTGTGAAAGAGTGACTCTCTCTTCTTCAGGATTATTTTGTACACTTTGAAAACAGGAACAAACTATCGCCAGCAAAAAAACACACACTTGTGCATTTGTTGGAAGATTAGCCATGCTGACACGATAATGATCAAGTAATTAATATCTAATGAGCAATATCAGTCATGAAACAGCTGCTACGGCGTGAAAACCGTGAAAATATTTTCGTTTAAAAAAAATGTCAAGAGCTTGGAAACACGAACTAACTTGTCGAACATGTCGAAATGTAAATAAATGGAGACCGGGGAAGCCTAGGAAATAGGACTAGKAACGCCTGGTTGATATGCTGAAAAGAGCTCAAAGAACATATTTTTTTAGACTTTGACCTCAGAATACTGCACGTTTTTCGAGATTTCGTAAAGTTTTGAAATAAGCTGAGCTCTGATTTAAGTAGTTGAAGCTTATCATAAAGTGATAGTGAATTGAGATCCAAGATGGCGTCGCTTCAAAGAGAGTATGCTATTGTTGTATTTGGTGCAAGTGGTTTTACTGGGCAGTTTGTTGTTCGTGAAGTGGCTAAAAACTGTCGAGGGCAGTTTAAATGGGCTGTAGCTGGAAGAAACCAGGGGAAACTGGAGAAAGTCTTACAGGAAACTGCGAATGAGATGGGTAAGAAGACAAGTCTTTATTTTATAACCAATAAATTTTGTACAAACTTTGCATAAGGCTAATATTTTGTAGCACAATGAAAAGGTTGTTGTGCAATCAATCAATTGCAAGTCGCTTGTTTCACTGTATGCAGGTTTTAAATAAACAGTGTTGCAAAATATCACACATCAATAAACATATTTATTGATGATATATCCCGTTTGTACATACTTGTCTTTTGTACCTTTTTATTATTTTTGATCATCAGCTTATAAATATAATTTATATCATAACGTGCAAAAAATCATCCAAATTACTTTTTTTTCATTTTAATTTAACATACAACTCTCAGAATAGACTTATTGTCCTTTTAAAAGGCTTTTAGCAATGCAAAACTTGAAGAAGTAGGTTTTTGTGGATGTCAAAATCAAAAGCCTTCTCAACTACATGCCGTCCAATCAAATCCTACAATTTGCCATAATGGTCATGACAAATTTTTGTGGATATCAATCAAGGCATTTCTATTCACATATTATTTATATAGGCCATGTATGCACCCTCAGAAGCTTTTTTTTCCAACACTGATATGGAAATTTTTAACACTTTGATTGATGTCCACCAGAACCTTATTTTGTCGCTATATAGAATTGTACTATTTTGCACTTTTTTTTTGAGAAGTGCTATGACATATATAACTAACTTCTGCAGTCAAAGCTTTTTTATACATTGATTATTCTTTTGATCGATAGACCGTGATCTTACTGATGAAGCGCACATTATCATTGCTGATGTTAATGACGAGGAATCCCTCAATATTATGTGTTCAAGAGCCAAGATAATATTAAACTGTGTTGGCCCTGTAAGTTAATGTCATCATTAAAAAAAAATTGTCTTCTTAAATAGACCTTTCTTTACCTTGTACGTAAATGTTTTGCCCATTTCACACCATGTGTCATTCCCTAGAATATTATTTCTTTGTTTAATGGTTGTGCATTTTATAAAAAGAATATAGATGCAATTATTCAAACAAAAAGTTTTATTCTCAAAAGAATGACACATGGCATGGTCTGAATGGTCAAAAACGATTAAATGTAAAAGTAATGTGTGTGGAGTGTGCTATTTTTCATAAACATTAACCTTTGGCTATAGGGAAACGAATTGTCAATAATTTAAAAATAAATATTTCATTTTATTTGTATTCCTGGTCAATACCCAGCCCTCTTACGTATGCAAGTGTATCAATTACAGACATTATTGGGGGATCCCTGATAAGGTCCCTGATCGGAAGGGAAGGGGGGTGGGGTAGTCAAATGTTGTGATGAAACAGCTTCCCTTGCATTGTTATCAAGGATAATGTCCTAGTTGCTTCATGCTGCATTAAACTCTACAAACTCCAAAATTTTGATTTGGATCACACTAATTAGCATAGTGGAAGTATAAACCTTGATATCTCCAAGATGCGTCACTCAAATCATATAAAAATATATTATTTAACTTTTAACTTCATGTAGAATCAATGCTGAAAACATTGAGTTAGTGGTCATAGGCCCTTTAAATGTAGTTTTATTTGATTGTAGTACCGTTTCTATGGAGAACCAGTTGTCAAAGCTGCTGTTGAAAATCAATGCCATCATCTTGATGTTAGTGGAGAACCTGAGGTAAAATGCTGTCAGAGATATGGGAGTTTTAGAATCAAGTTTGGCTTGGTTAAATTATCCTTCCAATATGTAGTTGGACTTTATAATTTAATACCCATTTTACAAAACAGATAGAGGGGACTGGGAGGGTAGTTTTCAACCACACCAAGTTAGCTCAGTTGGACTGGTGTGCAGGAGGTCATGGTTCAAGTCTTGACTGGACAAACACTCAGGGTCTTAACCTACTGAGAGGGCATTGTCTTTTTGTAATTATATGTGCAAATGGTTAAACCAAATGGCCACAGTCTATACTAGAGACATTTAAAGAGAAGAATGAGTTAATGAGTTGAATTACTCTCAAGCATCTTCCTATAAATAAAGTTCTGATTTTTTAAATTGGGGGTGAGAATGGAAAAAAGGCAGGTTCTCCCACACAACTTCACATGCACACCGACCTTCTCGTGCTCTACCATTATGCCGTTATACATACATGTATACCATAGCTGTAAGAAAAGAGCTGCTGTAAATAAATGTTTTATTCTACTATGATTCCTATAGTTCCTGGAGACAATGCAGTTAAAGTACCATGATCAGGCCCTACAAAACAACGTCCATGTGATTGGCACCTGTGGTTTCGATAGCATTCCTGCTGACATGGGTGTGGTCTTTGCTACTGAACAATTCCCAGGTGAATATCCACTTAACCACGTTTTTTGAGAAGTTTCAAGCATTAAAGCTGCTATGACCACAGGGAGCCCAATTTAGATAAAAGTGATAGGTGAAAATCAAATCGGAAAACTCTATGTATATATATTTTTAATTCAAAGTCAAGGTAATGTCCTCCTAATATGAAAGAGTAAAATAATCAATTAAAAATGCACTTGAACTTGCACTTTGTTTTCCAGTATAATTCCCCTATGGTATCTAATGTCGCTGACATGTATATACTCCTAATGCTTGAACATTGATTGAATTACCAAACAAAGCATTTTGTCACACTCTTAATGCATGTTGTCAAATGCCTAGGATACCCAGACTATCTTTTCATAATAAGGCTTAACCCAGACTATCTTTTCATAATATCCTGTTATTTTGCCATCTAACGTGTCCACTTACACACTGTCATGTGTATTCTCTATTATTTTTTTTCCGTTCTTTTTCCATTGATCGTATCATCGTATCGTATCATCCAGCAGGATTTCATAATCTTATCAATTTTGAATTTGGTTTCTTGTTTGTCATTTTTTGTAGGAGAACTTTGCCAACTGGAAAGTTTCATGACATTCCATACAGGACCCAAGGTATGAGGATTTGATATACTTACAAGGAATCACTCCTAATAATGACAATAATTACAAAGTGTAGTTCAAACATAATTTCTGAATACATCACATCAACTGTGCCGCATTCAGAAAATATGCTAATATGTTGGTTCTTCCCTAGTCCAGTAAACACTGAATATTGCTGTGTTTTATCACTCAAAACTCATCTGCATAGACGTAGCCTCGCTAAGCCTATTGCATTGCAAATGTGTCTGTAGTTTTCAAAAACAGTGGTATGCAATGAATGGGAAAACTGGTGTATAACTGACAGTTCTTGGATATCCCATTTGTTTGCATTGCTGCAATGTGTAGTGCATTCCAGAAGTCATCCATACCCACCACACAGACGAATTTGGAATCATTTCCGAAGAGTAGGGGGTCAGAGAAAGAACGAAAATTACAGAGTTTGTATTGTATTGTATAAGAAGAAAATTGGA